TAATAGGTGCCCTAACGCACCTTAATTCGTTAGGTGGCGACTCTTCAATTCCTTATATCCTTTTTCCCAAAAGGAAACGAGTTGTCCCACTAATGTCAAAAACCCTGACTAATCCTAAAGGAGAGGAAAAAAGGGGGCGCGACAGTCATATCTCAACATATTTGGCATTTTGAATCTTGTTGGGACGAGCGCTGGAGGCGCACTTGATTTAAATGGAAGCTTTGCATACTTTTTGGTGTCTACGCCCTTGACAACCAGTGAGGCCCCAAGTATCTGATCTATTTAGGCGGTATCTCCTACATGAAGCTGAAGAGCTCAGCCCTGTACATTTTATTAATGTTTATGCGGTCCCGGATCCGCTCATTCCGACCCCCGAACCACAAGAGACCTTCGCTACAATCGTGTTAGTTGCAATATCTGCTGGGGTCTTTGTTGTTGTGGGATGATAAGGCACGGTTGTTGTAAGGCCCCGTGAAAATTTCTACTCAAAACCCGACAGCTCGTAGTGCCAAGTTAGGAATATGTGTTAGAAATTTGTAAAATTCTTCGCAGCACGGTTCGGACCCTTTGGACTGATCTGTGCATTAAAAAGTTAAGGAATAATATTGTCCAAAAAAGTGTGTTTATGCGGTCCATTATGCGGTCGCATAATAGCTATGCGGACCGCATAGTCGCCGCAGAGTCAGATAGTTTGATGGTTAATTTTGAGATCAACTATGCGGCCAATTATGCGATCGCATAATCAATATGCAGGCCGCATAGTCATCGCATAATCCCCTTGGAATTTTTGCGAGGGGCAGTTCTGCGGTGCATTATGCGACCGCAGAATAGGCATGCGGACCGGATTCTTGTCGCATACCCGGGCAGCTTGTTCAGGTTTTTGAAGCCATTTTTGCGGTCCCTTTTGCGGGCCGCATGACCATTATGCGATCGTAGATTGTGTCGGGGCTCCTATTTTCTAACTTTTAAAACCCGACCCCATCCCATTAAAAACGCCCCATCAGATCTCCTTTATGCTATTTTACTGCAAATAGAGTGAGAGAGGAAATTCTAGAGGGAGAGAGAGTGATCTTCATCAAGTCCCCACCCAATCCTTGCCTAAACCCTTAAAGATTTTCAAGTAAAGCTGCTAGGCCTTCACCCCAAGAGGTAAGAACTTGAGCCCTAACCTTTGGTTTCAAAATTCACACTAGAATGAGTAATTAGCTTGTGGGTTCATGGGTATAAAAATGGATTTTCTTGCATGCATAAAAGATAATAGGGTATGGGAGGTTGTGAACTAAAAGATAGCAATTGGGGTGTAAGATAATGAAAATCTCTCACAAAAGGGTCCTAAAATCACAATGCACACTTAGTGCTTGATAATATGCTCAAATGAGCTAGAATCTTAATCATGTCTCTAATTCTTAGTTCAATTTGTAATCCCCATAAAATAGATTGAAGTTGCTAAGAGTCCCGAAATTTTGTAAGAATTTAAGGAAAGCTCTATTGAGATATGTATGGTTAAAACCCCCTCTTATTAAAAATTGAGCTCCGTTGTTGTATGTGCAAATGTGGTAAGACTGAAATAGGATTAATGAATTGATTGTTATTTCACATGAATTGGTTTTGTAACTATTTATACGTGAAAGGTGTACCCCAATGTGTTCAATATACTATTCTTGATAATTTAAAGATGTGCGAAGAATATAAACCATGTGTTGGAATGCCTAGACCTCAAGTCAAGATTAAAACTGAGATTGTCATACCAACTATATGAAATCTTATCTATGCTTACAACTTGAATTTCTCTTCTATGTGCCTATTATCCTAAATTGCAAGGTTAGTATTGAAAGTGAACATGATGTGATAATTGTGGCCCGAAGTGCGTATGAATTGATATATGTGAAATAATGATTGAAACGAGATGATTAATGAAAAAGGAACAACGCCTTGGTAAGGCGGACTAGCCGATCGGGCGGTGATCGGACGCCATGCCGCACACATGGTGATATTGTGCTGATATTGAATTCCGAAAAAGGAGAATGAGATTGTGATTGAGGTATATGTCTCAAATGAGGCAACCTAGCCGATCGGGTCGTGATCGGACTCCGCTCAAGGTAGCGGTGGTATTGTGAATAATGATGAACAGTATGAAATGCCCCAAACTAAAGCTATGAAAATTATGTGAAAGTTATATGATTCTTTTATTTGATGATGTGGTGTTCGGTTAAACCTTTGATTGTCTCTTGTGATTTCCTTGTTCTTGTATGATAGTTCTTTCTAATAAGATGATGTTTAGTTATATATACTAGTACTATTCCATGGTACTAACGTCCATTTTGCCGGGGGCGCTATATTATTGAATGAATGTAGGTGGCTCCATAGTGGGCAGCACCGATCGCGCGTAGCGGAGTGTCCTCCTCTCAAAGTCTTGGTGAGCCCACTTTTCCTTCAAGGGGTTATGTTGTACATCTTTTGTTGTAGACTTCCACTTTTGAGGTATAGCCGGGGCCTTGTTGCTGGCGTTGTCATAATTGTCTTTTGTATCCTTAGAGGCTCCGTAGACGTTTGTGTGGGTTATGTACGGGTGTTGGATGGGTCAATGAACTGTGTTGTAATTCTAAATTCTAGTTCTTCTAAACTGTAACTATATGAAATCTTGGAAACTTAGCCATGGTTTAAGGTTTGTGATCTAAAAATGAACAAACAATGTTGAATGTACGATCTTTACTATTGTCTAAATAAACGAAAGCATGGTCCCCTTAATCATATTGAGATGGGTAGAAAGTGTTAAAAAGGCTTGCTCAGTTGGGTTCTCTCGATTGAGCGCCAGTCGCGCCTCCCGAGGTCGGGGCGTGACAGTTGCTCCTGGAAAAGTACTGTTGGTGAAAGAGGCTATAGTTCTCTCTATACGCATCATGAATGTCTTTTGTGCAGCCAGCTTGTTTTCCACCACCTTCTCGAGTCTGAAACTCTTCTTGTGATGCATCCCTGTTACCTTGGGTTGATGTTGTCATCCTCTTCGCAGGCTGTATCGTTCTCTCTAATATCCGGTGTCATCGTCGTTTTCATCATCGATAGCTCGGGCTTCAGCTGAAAGTCGGGTCTGACCTGCTTCATGCGAAGAGGACTAGTTGTCCTCCTGCTTACGTCCCCCAAAGTGTTGCGAACCCTGCAGGTCCTCAGACACCCTTGGGCTTGGCAGGTTCACCTGAGGCCTTGGTATGACTTGTTTGCCATATGCATGTGGGTTTTCACACGGAGTCTTCGATATGGCAAAAGTTAGATAGCAAGTAAGTTTTTGATTGTTTAGCAAAGGGCTTAAAGCAAAAGGATCAAAATGATATCACAGCTGCATCTCCCCACAGACAGTGCGATATTGTTTACCAGAAAAAATAAGTTATCCGCTTTAACAGCTATTTTGATAAAAGAAGGGATTAAAGGCAAGTGCATCGTAATTAATCCAAAACCCTTATCTCCTAAGGTAATTCGTGTAACACCTATGAAAACTGAGATTACACTGATATCAACGAACCAACAAGGCTAGAGTTCAATAAAATAATGAGCTTTGTTTATTTTCCAGAGTTCTCTTCTAGAGATAATATAGAGTAAAAGAGATGTTTTTAGAGGAAGATGATAATGTCCCTTCAACTTCTCTCAAAATCTTTCTATACAAAATAAAAAAATACCTTTCTGTGACAAGACCCGTCGATTGTGCAAAAAGGACTATTGAAAAGGTGTCTCTGGCTCGAGACAGAACTCGAGGATGGTTGATGTCAGAGGAACGATGAGAATGCACTCCATTTGGCACCAGGGTTAGGGCCAAAAGAACGAGATTTATTAGGCCCGGTGTCATCGCCCCACCGGCCAACGATGGCCTTGTTCATTCCGAGACTGTACCGTTGTCATGAGATACCAGTGACAATGATCTAGAAGCCCCCAACAGAGGCTACCAGCCACAAGGTCTTCGGGTGCCTGCCTACCCGGCCAAGATTTCCACGTGTCATACCCTCGTTGGTCCACCTAGCAAGTCCGGATATTTACCCCATACAAAGCCGAGGCTTCCAAATGGCAGATCTAGTCGAGCAGATGCTCCTAGTTGTGATGAAGCACTCATTATTTTTGTCCCTGTCACTAAGATGAAGGGAAAATGGTGGTTTTTTGAGATCCACACTACAGGAAAAGAAATTTCGATAGTTGTGTATATATGTATCATATATAGTTTTGAATTAGAAAGATAGAACGAGGGAACAAGACGTGCAAGAGAGCGTCTTGCTTTACTAAATTAGTATGTTAGGTAATTATCTTTCCTATACAATCTCGTTCAACGATTTGAATGCGGATAACGAGTGGTATTGACTTTGATTCTTGCAATTTTCAAATTTCCATTTAAATATTTGTTCTTATAAGTTGATGGGCGAACTGTTAAAAAGGAACTCGCCAAATCGTATTATAATCCTTTTATTAACCAGCTAATAGTAATTGTTTTACATTTTCTTGACTTAGAGTTGTACATACAACTTTGGTTGCACTTCTATTTCAGTTTGATACGTCCCTCCCTGACTCCCTCGATAAATGGGACATTTGGTATTGGTACAGCAATTTCTTTTATCCCCTTTTTCTGAAGCATACGTTACTCATTATCTGATCGACATAATTATAATCAGTAAGCTGGCAATGCGAACTTAAGATCTTAATAAGATTCGCGGGTCTTAACAGTTACTTCAGCCATATCGTCAAAAGAATATTTTACGTAAAATACTCTATGCTAGTATTCAACTGACGAAATCTTGCAATTTTTGTGAAATTCAAATTTGTTGAATTTTTAATTCCTACTTGTGTGCAACTTATTGCAAAAGGAGAAAGGGGAAGAAAGAACATGAACGTATACTTGACGGCAAATTTTATTTTACTTTCTATATGATGCAGCAAGAGGAGCAAAAAGACGAATTTTTTATGCGTGATAGACTTGCTTAAATGCAATAGGAGTCTCTGCCGAGCTAATGTAGAGATTTAAGGATTAGAAGGGCAAAGTAGCTTACTAGAAAAACCATTTTGATGAATTTTTTAGATGTCACAATCAAAATCAAATAGAACACTCAACTAAATTAAACGGATCTCAAAACGTTGAGATGGATACAAAATCCAATTAGAATTTTAGGAAGTGTGACCCTCCTCTGCAGCGGCTGCTTCAAAGGTTTGGCCAGCCACGAGTTCCGGCACCTCATCATCATCATCATCCTGTGCTGCAGCAGCACCTTCAGGCGCACCGGTAGGTGCCTGCTTCTGGAACTGCTCCGCTAGCTTCTTCAAATTCTCCAAATTATCAGGGCCTGAAAACAGATTTTAAAACAGTCAAACAATGCTATACTGCTTAATCTTTTGTGACGTCTGCATCTTAGGAACATAAAGGACCACATACCCAACTGGTGAATAATTTGAGGAAGAATATCCTGCAACTCTGCAATAGGAAAGAAATAAAGCTTAGAAACACTTATATGTTAAAAAAACACAGAGAAAGGGGGAGAGTCGGTGTTGGTTCTTAAAACATATTCAAAGACAGATCAGGAAACACAAATTATCGAGGTTCTTTAGCGTTGGAACAACAAAAGTATTGAACTGCCATGGTTCTTTTGTTGGAGCATATAACTAGATACAGCTCACTAGTACTACTAGTGATCAAGATGCAATGAAAGAGAAGAAAACATACTCTTGGTCTGAGGGGAACCACTAACAACCCAAGTGTTTGCAGCAATAGAGGCTTGAACTGAATAGTAAAAACAAAAAGAAATAGTTAACAAATGGATGGATGACTACCAGATCAACCTGCATAAAAGATTGTATTTGTACCTTTGGGGTTAATGAATTGTATAACTACATCCTCCTTAAAAATGTTAACCTCTTCAATAGCAGGAATAGCATTCACCCCTATTCTTTTGAGGGTGCTTTGAAGTCTCTTGTCATCAGTTGTAGTTGTCTTGTGAACGGCCTTCTTCTTTCTGTAGAATAAGAAGACATTAAACGAAAAACCACAACGGATTACAGGGTACAGCCACAGTCCTAATTTTTTTTCCTGCCATGCTTCCTATTCTAATTTAGGCAACCAGCAATTATTGACCATATTCTCATTAGGAAACAGACTACTCGTAATTATTTCAGTTTTCCAACGTCACAAAAGAGCTATTTTATCCGTTTCTATCTAGTGGTAGTAACATCAAACATTCAAAAGAGACAAACCTTCGCATGGTTCCCTTACCACCAGTCCTGACCGAACCGGCCATTTTCCGTAGCTTTTCTACATTCATCTGTTCCAAGACGAATACAAAAATGTAATAATTAAACTTTCACTGAATGCTAAAAATAATTTACAAATTTGCAGAAAAACATTATAAAAAATCACATGAAAATCACCTCCACATGAAAAGTAGTAGTAAAAAAGAATCAAATGATTGAGTTCAAAGGCTGAAAGTCAAGCACATTTTACAGGAACACTAAAATAATAGTAGGTAGCAAGTAACCAAAAACAAAAGTACCTAACACCCTAAATTATATTAGGAAGAGTAAGAGTAACAAAAAATGGCTACATAAAAAATAGCATCGTTGACTTATCTACATACTTCCAGTAGTAAATTTCTACTTATTTATCCAGAACGCAATGAGTATTGCTATATTGGAAATCAAACAGTTCAATCAATATACAAACCGCAACATTTTCATCAAGCTAAGGAAAAGAAAGCCCTAAACATGTGCCTAAAACAAATCTATACCCATGTTCACCGCAAGTATTCCAACAGTATAGGCCATTTTCCAATCAGCTCATCCTTCACATAAACACTCAACTAAACATAACAATCAAAAAAATCGTTATACATATATAGAGAAACATATTTGTACATAAAAAATAAAAAAACAATTAATAAACCCAAAAACAATATTGAAAAAGCTATCAGCAATTCCTGTGGGGTTGATTGGGTAGGATGTAAAAGCAAGCAGAAATAGCTCTCACCTTGGTGAAGAATAGAGAACTAAAACCCTAGGCAGCAGTCAGCAGAGCAAAAATGAAGAGCAGAAGGATGGGTTTGGCTGGCTGCCGATAGCCTTTATCGTATTACCCCAACCCTATCAAACTCTTTGCATTTCCATTCTCACCCTTCCCTTTTTGACGCAATGACGTATATACCCTCTCCTCCATTCACATTTTGAAAGAACCAGTATTCATATTAAATATTTAAGTTATTTGAATTGTACGTAAATAATCTTAAAATTTATACTTTCTTAGTAAATATAGATAATCATTGGATATTAACTACCTGAAAAAAAATTAACAACTTCTTCTATTCTTTTATTTTACAACCATTTTTGCCGGTGTCATTGGATCCTAAAAATAGTTAGGAAACAAAATAATAACTCATATTTATAGCAAAACAATCAAATGTTGAGATAATGAATGACTCTTTGGATGAGACTTAACTCTTTTACTATTGCTTGAACTCTTATTTGGTGTGTTGATATCTCTTAAAAAATATTTCTTTCTTAAAATTTCAGTTTCTAAAACAATATTTTTCAATAATAATTATTTTATAATAATGTAATTGAAAATATTATTCTTAATTCAAAACTCATTTTAGTTGGCTATCTAAAAATATAAAAAATTCTTTAGCTAGTGAATTTTTTTTACCATTTTGATATTTGACATTAACCATGTTAAATATTTGAGTTATTTGAATTATATGTAAATAACCTTAACATTTAAACCTTCTAAATAATTTTAGATAATTGTCAGATATCAATTAAGAAACACTACATGAAAAAAGACTAACATTTTCTCAATTCTCGTAGTGATAATTTTATTTTTGCACTATTCTCATAGGTGTCATTGGAACCTAAAATAGCCACAAAGTAAAATAATAACTCATATTTATGGCAAAGCACAAAGGTTGACACGATATAAACGATTCTTTGATTACGACGTGACTCTTATACTACGACTTGAACTCTTATTTGGCATGATTTATCTTTCAAAAAATATTCCTATTTTGAAATTTCAATTTCTAAAACTTTATATATATTATAATAATGATTATCTTTATAATGATGCAAGTGAAGATATTATCCTTAATTTAAAATTTACTTTAATCGGCTATCTAAAAGTTTAAATGATTCTTTGGCCGGATTTATTTCAGTATGACTCCATTTTAAGTTTATCGATATCTCTAACCCCAGAATTTGAATTTTTAATAGCCTATATATACAAAAAATTTGTTCTTTGAATCATTAAATGTTAAGCTAGTTGATTATTATTATAAAATATTGCATAAATTATCTTAAAATTGTCATGTTGTTTATTTTTCGACACCATACTTGGCTTAACCTCAATGCAAACTATTCAAATTGCATTCCAATTCAAATTTGAATATCATATCAGTTTGTTAGTAATAGTGATTTTTTAAAAACGACACATAATGTAAATTAAAAAAAATATATTCGAAGATATCCTTATCTTATAATCTATGTATTTGAGTTGGAAAAAAAATTGAAATCGATGAGATTAACTTTCAAATTTTTTATACTCAACAAAGTTGAAACATAAGAAGAAATTTGCTGTCATCTTTTATTTTTTTCGTTTTTAGATCTTTCTAACATTTTTTTCAATAATTATTTTATCTTATTTTTTATGTCATTATTTCTTTTGTTACAAAAAAATTAATTTATTTCACTATAAACGGATGTGTTTTAATAAAAATTATCTACATATGAACTTTAATTATATTTTTAGTCTTTGGTTGAAATTATTTCATATTTTTCTTTTGGCTTTATCTAACCAACCTAAATAGGTGCTCACCCGACCACTTAAATTAAAAAATTGAATGATGTGTAATTTATATATCATTCATATATAATATGTGTATAATGGTGTGTTGTCAGTATATCATCTATTTATATTAGCTTTAAAAAAGTAAATAATAAATATGGCAGGATATTATGTAAATATTCCATAAGATTTCGATTTTTTGAGTTTATCCATGATATATCTTATAATAATTTAAAAACTCTCTACTAATGTTCAAAAATATCTTATCTTTTTATTATCTTTAAATTAATAAAAGTAAAGAGTTTTTTTCGAAATAATTTATTTATATATAAAAAAAAATATTTCACGTCATACCAATTTTTTCTTTATATATACTCTTTGTTACACTTAAAAGTCGCTATAGAAACTATCAATTAGAAACCAATTTTTCTCTTGTTGAGTTTGAAAAAAAAACTTTCACATAATCTAATGATTCAAAGCTAATATTCTTCGACGAAAAATATATTATACCCTTGCAATATTGGCTTGACTACAGCTAATGAAGGGGTTTCAACTTATATCCTTCAATTCCTTAAATGTGCTAAATTAAAATTAATGATAGCAATTGTATGCCAAAATTTTGTTATTTGTTTGATGTCCATTTATGCAAATTGACTCTTCAAACAAATATCCTTCATGAAGAAAAAAGAAATAACTTTTTTTTTAATATTGACTGATTTTGTGATGTTTCTTTCTCCAACATATATGCTTGCTTTATTATATATGTAAGTAAACTTTTATTTGGTTTTGTAAACTCTTTTTTGTTATTAGATAAACATAGACGTGTACCCTGTATATTATATTTAGTTTAAAAGAATTTCGTTTTATTCAAATCTAGCTACAGTTTTCAAAGAACTATACTTATAGGATTTTAAATGTGAAACAGTTTTATAGTTATATGGAGTAGTTTTTTTTTTTTGGCTAGAGGCAAAGTAGTATTTAAATAATTATAAAAAATAACAAAAGTTCCTAACATGATTGCATATGATCATTAATAGAATTAAGTATGATAATATGATAAAAAAAGATAAATTTTATTTTTAATTTAAATTCAAATTTTAGAACTTTATCTATAAATTCAAAATTATCTTTTAATTCAAATTATGTATATATATGTGTGTGTGTGTGTGTATGTGTGTGTGTGTATATATATATATATTATATTTATTTAACTAAAATAGTCAAATATAGAATAAAGTTACCATATACTATTGACATGTCACGATCCCGGTTCGCCCTCCGTGAACCATCGTGACGGCACATAGTCCCTACGATTAGGTAAGCCTAAAATGCGGAAAAATAAACCAATTTGCCGAAGAAAACAAGTAAAAACCAAAATAGTGAATAAAACAGTGTTTAATAGTGCCGCTCGGCATACACCATATCAACTTTCGAATACTAATACTTTTTCCGAAACCCGGAATCTCATGAAATTACAAGCTAAGAATACTACATAGTGCTCTAACTCCAGAATTGTCTAAAACAAAGTAAATACAGAAGGACTGTAACTACAAGAGAGAATGGAGAGAGACTCTTCGGTCTGCGGACGCGGCAGATATACCTCGTCGTCTCCGAAAGATTGCCTCGCCTCAAGGATGGTAAGTCTGAGTAGAGGTACCTGGATCTGCACATGAAAAACATGCGCAGGAATGGCATAAGTACACCACAACGGTACTCAGTAAGTGCCAAGCCTAACATCGGTCGGGTAGTGACGAGGAAGGTCAGGGCCCTACTGAGGTTAAATAAAATATAAAGTTCGACAGTGTAGAACAGAGCAGTATAAATAAATACAGTAGTAAGAGTAACACGGGATATAAGGATAACGACAACTGGAACAGAAATAAAATAATCACGGAAAAATAATTACAGCTCAACGCAGAGGTAACAACTGGGGGATCTACCAGGATACCGTCCTGTGGTCCCCAAATATAATATCCAGTGGATCTCCCGGGTGCAGTCCCGTAGTCCAACTCATAAATGCGCGAGGATCTACTGGAATACCACATCCGTAGTCCCAAATATAAATACTCAATACTGGGAGAATCTACCAGGTGCAATCCCGTAGTCCCAATGTGAAAATGCAGGGGGATCTCCCGGAATTCAAATCCGTAGTTCCAAAGTAAACATATAGGGGGATCTCCCTAGATACCGTCCCGTAGTCCCAAAGTAAATACACAGCAGTAACATGATACTCAATTCAATCAATTTCACACCAACGTAAAGCAGGTATTCCTAACCTAGCATGCTGCACATAATTCAAGTAGGGCAGTAGAACAAATAAGCAGTTAAATCAATTAGACATGCTTCCCTAAGCTAACAACATGCTTAACTTGCAAGTAGTGTAAACAGGAAAGGAAAACACAATTCTAAGTACTTAATGGAAACTGGATTTTTCAGCAATTAGCACAAGTACGCACTCGTCACTTTACGTACAAGGCATTCAGTTAACGAATATACCAAATCCTAAGGGGAAGGTCCCCCACACAAGGTTAGGCAAGCCACTTACCTCGAACCAGCTCAAAATCAGCCCGAAACCACGTTCTTACCACGAGTTTTCAATCAAATGGCCCAAATCTATTCAACTCAATTGCATAATGTAAATAATACTTCAAGTAACAAACTCTACAATTAAATTCTAAGCTAATACGCGAAAATTAGGTGAAATGACCAAAACGCCCTCCAGGCCCACGTCTCGAAATCGGGTAAAATCTACATTTTCAGAATCCTCATACTCTCACGAGTTCATTTATATCAAAATTATCCCAATCCGACATCAAAATCGTGATCCAAATTCCATTGTTAGGTCTAAGAACTTTTCCAACTTTTCTTCAATTTTTCCACCCCAAATTCGAATTTAAAGAATGAATTTAAGCATAGATTCGTGGAAAACAATCAAAACCGAGTATGAATCACTTACCCAAAACACCCAGGTGAAAATCCCTCTCAAAATCGCCAAATCCCGAGCTTCCAAAATCAATTTTTAACTTTTTGAAACTAAACCCTCGAAACTCTGTTTTTCTGCCCAGCATTTCCGCTTCTGCGGTCCCGCTTCTGCGAAAAAACGACCGCATCTGTGAAACTCACTAAAGTCCCAAAATCTGCACCTACGACTTACTGACCGCATCTTCATATTGTTCTGACTACGGTCAAATTTCCAAAACTTAAGCTCTCATTTAGGGACTAGTGTCCCAAAACTCTCAAAAACTCAAAACCGAACATCCCGACAATTCAAAATAACAGAAATAAACACGGGGAAAGTAGTTAATAGGGATCGGGGTATAAATTCTAGAAACGA